ATAACTTGTTCTCTTCAATTTGATCTCTTCAACCGTTTGCTTCCAGATATTCTACTTCAACCTGGTGTTACATACTACTCATGTCGATAGATATAAGTAGCAGACACCACAATTCTTTTTACTTATTTAAATGAAGTGAAAACGGTAATCAATGCGAAATACACATAAATTCCTTTGTATTCTCTTTGCTTTCATAATCTGCTTAAATTTGAAATGATATGAATTATTAGTATCATAAATACATATATATAAGCTTGTATTAGGCTATTTGAAAATTAATATTCGATAACATGAAGATGATGAGACAGTAATTGTTTAGAATTCCACAATAGATACAAAAGGTTGTGTACTAGTCATAGACAACCTAAACAGTTCACTGAGATTTTACGTACCGGTTAAATGAAAACCATGGCTAAGTAGGATGATAGTTTTGAAGTGGATAAAACAGAAGACAACTAAAAGAAGATTACATTACTGAAAACATATTGACCTTTAAGTCACAACTGTTTGGCTTTTCTTTTGCATTTTTCCGTACATAGATATTTAACCACTAAGACATTGACATAATCATTATCGTTATTTCATTATTCATCATGAATATAATATGAAGTATATACACGTTTTGAATAATGAGAATGATTATATAAGTTTGTCACTATGCTTGTTTCAGTTATAATAAATTTTATAACGGTAATATTAGATTAGTACGCTAACCTAGATGTGTCCAAATTTTGTTAGTATTATGGTAAATGAGAATATAAATGCGAACAATGGGATGTAATTCAACATAAGATTATAGAATATCTTAATGAAATCTAAGAATTATAGGGTGGATACTTCATTTGCAAATTGTCAATTATTCGTCTCAAACTTGACTGTTCTTTTTGTAAATATGAGTCAGTTGTCTCAGAATTCATTGTTACTGTATTTAAATACCAATTGCTTACTGTTCCTGTTCTTCCCTACTTGATCTTCTTGACCTTCTGCTTCCAGATATTCTATTTCTGATTAGCGTGATAAACTACTTATGTTGATATAAGTAGAACACATCACAGTACCAGTATGACATATTCGTTCATACATAATTACAATTATAAATAACGGCCCACTAATTTAAAACAAATTCATTGTACTTATTGAAATCTATTTTCCATTCTGAAAGTGATCTGACTGCTACTCGAGATAATATCTTTGATTTTTAATAAAATGTCACTAAGTTTTAAAGAAAACAGTATCATGATTGCAATAACCCATTTTTGACGAGATTGATGTTTTCTATGGAACACGAACATACATTATACTGTTACACAGAATACAACGCTACTGTTAAGTAGTGATATTTGTCTAGTTCTTCAAATTATTGACGAACTTTACCGGTCAAGCTTGAATGTAGCCATTCATTCGATGTAGCTGATCATTCTTTCTGTACACTAATGTTTTTCGGTGTTTTCTATAGTTTCTTTCCCATTTAATTAGAAGTCTATTAATATAATTTATAGAATTTAGAGTTTATGAACATAAAATGGTTCATGAGATTGAATAGTTTGTAGAATACGTAACTAGTTCTGAGATGGTAGAGAACATTTGTAGCTCAGCACAAACTTCTGAAGTTTTTGCTGATGATATCGTTCAGAAGAACGATGAGAGCTACACGAACAAACCATCCAGCTCTGAGAACAAAACTCCATCAAAAACGTAACTAGTTCATATGCCGTCACTTATATATCATTTATTTTATTAGGTAAATGAATACACTTAGAGAAATACAGATTTACGCCTGCTAATTGAAACCTAATAAAGATGCCACTAAGTCTTCATTTTCTATATTTTATTTTAAAGATAACAGTTTGTCAGCCGTGTAAAGCTTATTGAGTGAATCTCCTATGTTAAAAATACTGTCAACTTCGGTCTTATTGAACTATAAAAATAAGCATGGATCTATAAATCTTGACTGAATAATTTAGTTTAATCTTCTAATATGTAAACTAAGTAACTCAAAATACACGAGAAAAGACATTGATCCCTATAACCAAGAAACTGTTTTTTTTAAATCCTGTAACCCTATGATGATCACCTCCCTATATTTCAATAATTCACAGCGGTAAATAATAATGGTATCATTACAGAAGGAGCCAAGAACTTTCTGTATGGTCGTTACAGAATATTATGAATTCACTGATGCTATTAATTTAAATCCAAAGGTAATGATGAAATAGTCCAATATCAACGTATCCTCTTCGAAATAATATGGTCCATGGTTTGAGTTAGAGTAATGATATAAAGACTCACAACAGATGAAACAAGTGTTCACTGCTTCTTGTTGTTTTTAAATAATTAATTAGTTGAATTCACGAGTTCATTAAAGTCAGATTTACTATGGGAAACCTCGAAATACTGGAAGGCCGTTTCGTCCTAGTATGGGGCTCCTAAGAAGTGCAAACTCACCAACCCGCTGGATTCGAACTCAGGACCCTCGACCTGGCACTCGAACACTTAACCTCTAAACCACTGAGTCGACATCCACCAGTGTTAATGTCTAATTTCAGCTAGTTCACGAAATTAAGCGACATATCCACCGTTTTCATCAGTGTGTTACTACCTCACAACAGACACAGTTGAACTCCACTGATCACGGCTTCCCACTAGAACTCCAGGAAATACCTCTTGGAGACCGTCACTAGTGAGCATATGATGATTATAATGAGAGCGGAGTTTTGTGAATATTATAACAATTTAATAGTTCAATTCATGAATAAGTTCTCAAATTTTAATAAATGATTGATGAACAGTAATTTTGAATTAGAATACTAATGATCAGTTAACGGTCAAATAATTATCTGCAAACTGAAGTATGCTCTTCAGTGAATAAATATAATCACTGAAATAAAGTACTGTTTATGTTCTGTTGTCTTGTTTCGAATGTATCTGTAATTATAATCATAGTTTGTAGTGTTCATTATACATAAGAAAAGTCAAATAATCTATTATCATCGCAAATATATCCCCACAGGAATAAGTTCATCAATTATCTTAACTCAGAAAATATTTTTCTGGTTCAAGAAAACATTTTTCAATCCTTCTAGGCATGAATTGGTTCACTTAACACAATAACATACAAATAACGAATTGTATTTATTTTGAATTTTTAAGTATAACACTTAACTAATAATTGAATTCATCAGGCAATTGAAGCTAGACCACCATGGAGAACCTGCAAGCACTGGAGGGCAGTTTCATCACGGTCTGAGACTCCTCAGCAGTGTTCACCCTTGATCCCGCCTTGCGAGATTCGAACCTAGGACCTATCACTCTCGTGCGCGAACGCTTAACCTTAGACCACTGAGCCGATATCCAACGGTGTTAATATCTAACTTCAACCAATCCACGAAATTGCACTGAAGTACATTTACCGTTTGGTTTAAAATTTTAATCAAAAATTATCGAACATTTTAACATTGTTTCACTGAAATCATAAACTGATATAAGTTAGACCACCATTCGAAACCTGGGAGTACTAAACGTCGATTTCATTGAAACTCAACAATCTCCATACCGACAATTTAAGTCATTTGTTTAACAAATAATAAATTAATAAACCATATGCCAACATTTATATCTGGATATCATTATTAATAATCACTTGAATCACCCTATTTTATATATTCAGGATCAAATATGGATCCGTCTATGTTGGCTTAAGTAAATTCTTTGTGGATCGCTTCGGTAATAAACATTTGACAAAACAGATAGATTATGGCATAAATTGGGACACAAGATAAAGATTTATCCTATTTAAGATTTAGCAGCCGAACATGTGTGCATTACCATGTTGTTTTTCACAACGAAGCTCAAATCCAGTACCTTTCACTATATGTTTAGACCCTAATAAGTCAACAAAATGTTCATAAACAAAGATGAACAGCCACAGAAAAACCTATTTAAAACCAGATAATATAAATTGAATCTTTCAGACAGTTAGCAATTAACACGTAATTTAAAATCACTCCTTCAGAGAAAAATATTTATTGTCGATCACCTTCAAATAACGTTCCTCAGAAAGAAGTACGCTTCAATACAACTCTATTAGTTTTACCTACTCATCCTATAAATGGTACCTAAAGAATAAGTGCGCTCAAATTAAGACACTTCTATTTAGTCGATTGTGTGGACTAGTTTTACTACGAAATAGTTGCTTCTCATAGATTAGTTTAAGCTTTTTCACGGTCAAAAACCTGAGAGTAGGGTTCCACTACGTCATCGCCGTTACAAGACCCACTGTAATGAACAATCGAATGTAATTCAACGTAAAATGACAGAACATCAATCGTCTCAGACTTCACTGTACTTTCGTTTCTACATCAATCACTCTTTGTTCGCATTCTCTTCTTAAACTTCCACCTCCAAGCATTTCACTTTCGATTGATGTTACATAATACTTATATCTATCGACATCAGTATCAAGCACCTCACAAGTAGTATTCTATGAATAATCGTAAAGCGCTATGAAAGTATGAATAGATCAACAGCAAAAATTGAAAATATCAATAACTAAATTCCAATATCGTGAGGATGGTCCATAGGGGAACTCGAGGAAGCCTTAAGAGGCTCAGAAAGAGCCAAAGATATTCCATCCAATCATCTTTTGTAAGAATACTCTAGAATCTCTACGCGTAGCTTCCCGATTGAACAATTCTAATAACCCCCTGTGTGCGGATTGGATAGCTGTAATGACGATTTCGTTTTACTAAAAGCTATACATGACAGTGTCAAATTATAGTACAAATATAAAATACCATGACAACGACTATATATGAGTTCGATTCCCTAATTAGTATCTCTGACATGATTATAAATGCTCATTGATAAGAATTTTCTATTTTATAAATTGATTCAAGTACATGATCCAAAGAAAAAAACCAGAACTTGATACCATTTCAAACTTATCGTTATCTTATAAAATTCTTTTCTCTCTCCCTCTATAAATATACATGCTTTTTCAGTTGTATTTTAGATTATGAGGCTATATTTGCCTGAATTATATCTTATATTTATAACAAATACAATTATCCTATCTGGTGTAATATGCAATGAAATTCATAGTAAATCCACAGGTAAATTGTTCCCTATTTTTTTTTCTTTTTTCAATCTACTTAATTATACATGGTTATTATTTGTGTTTTATCAGAGATAGAGAGAGGGGGAGGGAAGGGAGGAGGGAAAAAGATAAGTTTTAAGAAAAAATGTACTATAATTTATGTTGAACGACTATTTTCTTTAGATGTGTTGTATAGAAAAATAAGAATAAAAGGTTGTAAGTTATTCCATTGAATTTTAGTTAAAGCTTAATCTAACATAACTCATCTATCATCCATATTATCAATTCTCAGATTATTTTGAGATATAGTGAAAGTTTACATTCACTGGTATTCAGAATTCTCCTGGATGTAGTGTGTATTATTTGATTTTTTTCTTTTCATTGAGAATAGTACCGAATAATGATATCCAAGACATATGATTTTACCCATTGTAATCTTGTCAATTGTACTAATCAGATTCCAAGTGTTCTGAATGGGACTGATATTTGTTGTTAATCGCTCTAACGCCGTAGAACCTTAATAGTAATACGAAATTTTAATACCATCAGAGAAAATCTAACTATCGCTTATATAATCTTATTTATATTTACTGTGAAACAGTATGAGTTTAACGGGTATCTTTTAAAGTTGCAACTAATTAAATTACAGTTGAAATAAGCCAGATAACTAATCCATCAGTGAAATGTAATACATGGATGAAAAAACCTGTAAATTTATGCCATTGATGATTAGGACTGAGATTGATCAATCTCTTACTGATATATGTACATCCTGTGCAGATTGCTTCGATAGTGTCTTAAGTATTATAAGCATTATAAGCATCAATTCTTGGATACAAGCGATACAGCTGATAAGCCATAAATACGATGAAACATGAATCTTGGATTCCACTGCTAGCCACTATCTATTTTTGCTTGTAACGCTAGAGAATTTATGACTATAGAAAATTTGTTTTCTATAATAAGATATTGTGTTTTTTAATTGAAACTTAATCTATTCACCTGTGTTCATATTCGTTTTAGCAAACTATCAAATACATCCAGAATTAGGTAACCTCTTATTTTATTATTTAGCCGGATAAATATGAATAGTATCTGTTTTTTATGGAAGATATCTGCAGACAGCGTGTACTTACAAAACTCAGTAAATTTTAAAACTTAGTGTAATTCAAGTCAATTATCGGGAACATATAACTATTCACGGATGTTTGACTTACTTACTCACTTACGCTTGTTAATCCTAATGGAATATAGGCCGTCGACCAGCATTCTACAACCCACTCTGTCCTGGACTTTCATTTCTAGTTCTATCCAATTCTTGTTCATTCTTCTCATTTCTATCTCCATTTCACGGCTTAATGTCTTCTTTGGTCTTCCTCTTCTTCTTTTGGCCTTGAGAATTCCATGTGACGGCTTGACTTGTGGCACAGTTTGGTGCTTTCCTCAATGTATGCCCTATCCACTTTCAGCACCTATTCCTGATTTCTTCCTTCGCTGGGATCTGGTTTTTTGTCTCTCACAGTAGGTTGTTGATGATAGTGTCTGGCCAACGGATCCGAAGTATTTTGTGTAGACAGCTGTTAATAAGCACTGGTACAAGGTGGATGATGGCTTTCGTAGTTCTCCAAGTTTCCATCCCATACAGTAGAACTGTTTCGACATTTTTATTGAAAATTCTGGTTTTGCTGTTTTTTGACATTCGTTTTGAGTTCCAGATGTTCATTAGTGGTAGATATACTGCTCTTGCTTTACTGATTCACGCCTTCACACTTGTATCAGATCCACCGTGCCCATCAATAATGCTCCCCAAATATGTGACGGATTTTACACTCTCTAAAGCTTCTTCGTCAAATTTGATTTGATTGCTTCATGTTGTGTTATATTAGAGAATCTTAATTTTCCCTTTACGCATGTTAAGACTTCAGTTACATTATATTTAAACATATAAATTAACGAAAGGATTGTTTGATAAGCAGTAGTGTTCTGTAATAAATTATCTCCTTATCAACATATGCTATACCTAAAAAACACATGAACTGTACATTGAAATTATCTCAGAAATTCACGTACAACTGGAGTTTCTTTCTGATACTTCTAGCATAAAATCGTTCAAATAATGCTTATTGAACAAGATTTATTTCACTGAAAGAAACCTAGTCGACTTTCAGTTTGACAAGTTAACTTGTCTGTTCCGTGGATAAAGTTAGTCTAGAACAAATCTAATTCTGTAAAACGTTTTGCACGTCGTGACTTAAAATGATATCATAGATTAAACAGTTAAAACTTTAAAGTATTAAGTACAGAGAAGTGTTTCGTGCATAATACAATAATTCAATAGTTAAGTTCATGAGTCAATTGAAGCTAGACCACCATGGGAAACCTGAAGGCACTGGACACCGTTGAATACCGGCTCAGTGGTCTAGAGGTTAAGTGTTCACATTCGTGACTGATAGGTCCTTGGTTCGAATCCCGTGGGGCGGGACCGTGGATGCTCACTGCTGAGAAGTCTGACACTAGAAAGAAACAAATAGTAAGGCATTCATGAGAGAAAATTATTTTTCAAAAAAAACAACAGATTAAATTAATTCACAAACTTGTTAACGCAATAAACCAGATGAAGCTTAATATGATTGAACCATATGTAATATGGTAATAATATATATTCATGATTACACAACTGGAAAAGTCCAGGAGTTAACATCCATTGTTTTGAAAACATTTAGTAAACAAATAGTTATCATGTTTTGCTACAATATTACTTCTTGAAGGTTGTTAATGAAAAGTGTTGAAATCTAATACTAATTTATCTAGATCCAACTCATTTTCTTTACAGTTGAATCGTCACTAAATTATAATTAAAATAATCATTTTATAGCATGTTAAGTTCTAGATTAAGTGGATTGATAAGATATTTAGTTAAGAGCCTATAAATATCTTAAGATGTTGAAGAAGATTTATAGCTCAGGTGGATGATTTTGATGACGTTTTGTGCTCTGAACTGAATGGTTTGGTCCATTCAGCTACAAAAGACCTATCCATTATCCATATGCACTGATATTTCATCATATAAACAGTGAGAAACGATATATATGATGTTTCAACCCTAAACACTGAAACACTTTACAATTTTCATACAACTGTGAATATAACTGTAACTTGTTATATATTTCGATGACCATATTTAAACTATATTCATTGTATTTTTATACAGTGAATACTTTGAATTTATATTATGTTTACTTATTACATAATTATAGAGTATGGTGAACATTATATTCATCCGAACGATCTGTTATATCCTACACTATATGAAAATATTGAAGATGATTTAACATTGAATGAAATGAATGATGACAATGATAATAATAATAATAATAACGATGATCATATAACTTTCAAAAGTCAACAACATATTAATGATCGATTATTTCAACCGATTAAAGATCATAGACATTGGTTAAATACTGAAAATATACAACATAATCAACATGATGAAAATCAACATGAACATCAAGAAAGAATAATTTCAAATAATCTTATTAAGAAAATTACAGAGAATTTATTGAAACAATCAACAATGCAACAGAATATCCCTACTTCACCATTATCATCATCATCATTACCATCATCTGCAGAATCAACAGCATCATTATTACCAACATCATCTATGCTTCATTCATCATCTAGATCAGTATTACCAAATTTATGGTCAAAGAATTCATTATATAGACCATATCGATTGAAACGTGATGATCTTGGCTGGAAACGAAGTATTCATTATAATGTGTGAATCAATGACAGAATTATTAAATAACAATGAACATAATGTTATGAACAATTAATTAATTAAGATACTACTAAATATATTTAAAAGTTAATAAATTAATTAAACAGGGGGTTATCTTATTTTTGAACAGAATATATACATATATACACTATATCTATAATAAAATTTAAAGTAATATACATAAAACTATCCTCATTCTACACATTGAATTGTTATTCTTTTCTCTCCATTTTGTTTATGTTTTATCCATTATACTACCTAAAGATTTAGAGATACAATAATGATTAATATAGAAGTAAATAAAAAAGGATGGTTTAACATAGTGATTCAAAGTAGTCACTAGGTTGATAGGATTCAATTTGTAGTTGAAGAAGAATCTGATCATACATCATATTGATCAATACTCAAGTGATTAATCAATTATAAAATCATGGTTTATAGAGTAAAACTTACTTACTTACTTACGCTTGTTACCCCTCGTGAAGGAGCATAGGTCGACCACCAGCATTCTCCATCCAACCCTGTCCTGGGCAATCCTTTCCAGCTCCTTCCAGTTCTTATTCATCTTGTTCATATCTGGTTCTATTTCCTGACGTAATGTGTTCTTTGGCATGCCTCTTTCCGCTTCCCTTCAGGATTCCAAGTTAGGGCTTGCCTCGTGATGCAGTTTGACGATTTGCGTAATGTATGTCCTATCCATTTCCATCGTTTTTTCTTAATCTCTTCTTCAGCTGGAAGTTGGTTTGTTCTCTCCCACAGTAGGTTGTTGCTGATGGTATCTGGTCAATTAATGTTGAGTATCTTGCGTAGACAGCTATTTATAAATACTTGTACTTCTCTGATTGTGGTTGTTGCAGTTCTCCAAGTTTCAGCTCCATACAGTAGAACTGTCTTGACGTTCGTATTGAAGGTTCTCACTTAATAAGTGAAAATTTATGAAAATCATATACAAACTTAGGGTGTAAATTATTATGTACATAGTAGTGATCAATTTTAACAAGTGATTCAAGAAATGTTAGTGAGAATAGCTATGAACAGTTTTTAGTGTCCATAGTCGAACTCAAACGGTATTAATGCTATTGAAATATTTACCCCGTATTATTTTGTATATACTTATCACTTTAATCACGTTAATGAATAACAGAACAAAACAAATCTAATGCATCCGTAGGTACATAGATAATAAGAGAAGGTGAATTTATTTATTGAATGAGTAATGGATGAGTGAATCTTGATATAAAATGAATATTGTATGAATTATCTATAATTTATGATAATATAAATAACTGACACACAAAAGGCGATCAAACACGATAGAGTTGACACGGTTAGAGATGACATAACCACGTTAGAATGTCACATTTAATTCCCAGACAAAAGTAAATTAATCACATATGTGATAAGAGCTCCTTCAAGTGAAATTCAATCATTTCCCCAGTGTTACAAGTATTACTAGTATTAATGAACAGTGATGATGCAATACTAGAAGTTCAATAATGTTGGGAGTATAAAATATTAGGTGCTAAACAAGAGGTCTGAGTGTAGAGAGCTTCCTGTTATACCCATGGGATCCGGCTTTGGTCTTCAGCTGGGTCATGAACGCACATTGTCAAACAGTTTTAGTTTTGAGGAAACATTTATCTTGTAATGACTGGTTCTTCATGACATAATCAGTCGGTGACGTACATATCTAGATTTTCAGGTTCGAAAGAAATTCAACCATCTTCACAACTCCATACTGAGAATTGTACATCATTTTAAAGAACCCTTTCATTTCAAAATTATCTTAACTTGACATACAAACAATCAGTTAAGCCACAACTTTAATCGACAAAAGTTATTTTAATAGAAAAGTGAATATCAATATACGACATGTGGATGAAACTAATGACGAAGAAATACCTTGTAAATACCCAATATTTCTCCTTTATATTTGATATACTACAATGAACATACTAAACTATATATGTATATGTATATAAAGATATCCCTTAGGTCATAAGATTTGAATATAGTACATTAGATTTGACGTAAAAATCCATATCATAGTAGGCTGAGATCTCAAGGAAAACAAATTTATTTCTAATACAAACCTCAGAATAGACTTCATTATGAACTATACTAGTCGTATAAAACTTGTGCATTAATGTTATTGATGACAATTGTGTCAAATAGTAAATGATTCACTTAGTATTGTGATTGTAAATACTCATTTATCAGGGAATATCAAACAAAGATGTATTCGTTGTACAGTACTCCTACCTCTTAAGATTTTTTCGGCAAATTTTGTTGTAACGGCTAACACAGTGAGGACAACAGAATTACAGAGTTACTTGATAAAATAGAAAAATCAGACTATAATACCTAATTTGCAAAATGTTCAATAATTGTCTCGAAATTCATCGTTCTTGCATTTCCATACTTATTGCTTTCTATTCCCGCTCTTCCTTTCTTGATCTTCCCCCATCTTCTGCTTCCAGACATTACATTCCTGACTCGCATCATATACTACTTATATCAATATAAGTAGCACGCACCACAATGTTAGCTTTTGATGAAAGTTTCCACAACTAATAACAAAGTTATCAATAAAAATTGTATAGAACTATTCAGATGATTTATTGGAGGCCTGTTTGAATATCTGGGCTACCTATTCTTGTCATTTAGATATTCCAACAATTTATCTGTTTTTCTTTATTTGTTTTAACACATCATTAAGTCTATGAATCGCATAACCTATTCAGGCGTGTTTATGAAACATTTACGATCTTTCGCTGTACAACTTATAAAAAAGTACAATCAGAAACATTGTAATGGCTGGCAATATGCATTGAAAACAATGAACATCATTCAGATATCAATTCCTGGATTAATAACATCTAACTGGCAATCACTCAATATTTATCATGAATATCGATCAAGAAATAAGAAAGGGAAACTTGTTGAAATACTTTGTGCTGAGAATTCTGTATTGTACTACAGATATAATACTAAATAAAGTCATTAATAATAATAATAATAGTAATGAGCGAATCAGTAGTTAGAAGATCATTGTTCATTGGATTAAGATTAATTATTCCTGAAACTCTTGTTTAAAACAACGATGTATTTTACAAATGGAAAGTAGATAAATCCAGTCTCCAAAAGACTGTAAATATGATTAATGAATGTAATTCTATATGTATCATCAATCGAAAGTGAAATGCCTGGAAACAAAAGGTTAAGAAGATCAAAAGGAAAAAAGAAACAAGAATAGAGAATGAATGGTGTGAAAATGAAAGAATAATGAAGTCTGAGACGATTTTACAGGAGAAAATGTCACATTTGAGACAATTGATTGATATTTAGCAAATAACTTATTTGCTGTATGTTTCTCAGATTCTACTAAGAGATGAAATTACATTTGATTGTCCCCACTTGTGTTGTCGTTCACTACAGTAGTAATAGCAGACGTACCCATAAAATACAACACTAACCACATCCCATTAAAATTAATTTAACCATGTTTGCCAAGATTTATATTAAACTTTAGTTGTAAAATTATAAAAAACATAATCAATCATACAAGGCATTCGTAAGCACAAATATTTACTGTCATAGTTTATTTAATGACGCGCGTTTCGCTCTGTCTGGGACTTATCAATAGGAGGTACTCATCACATCTTAATAGTGATGTCCATATTGAGATTAAAACCTAGTACCTATTGTTTCAAATGTCAACACGTTATCCACTGACCTACTGAATTCAGATGACCGTTACTTTATTCAACAAATATGAATTTCATTTGTAACGGTCTGTATTTTCTCCTTGTTGATATTAATAACTCTTACTGATCAGTCTCTACTATCATACATCCATCCTGTACAGTTTAACAGCTACGTTTTTCCTTAGCAAAGTTAGAAACACCAACAATAACAACAACACATTTCCTAGGCATTCTATCAAAATATTACAGAGTCAAAATAGGATGTAAATAAATCTGGCTAAAATCATTTCGTGATTTAGGCCATGAGAACTGTACTATCTCTACAAATCCTCTATATAGTGATGTTAATCGTATGCTCATTAGTGATGAGCTTCAAGATGTAATTTTTGACGTTCTGAAAATATGATCATTGGATTTCAGCCATGCCAGGTGGGAGACAAACTTGCACAATAGGCAATGGATGAGGGTTGAGTAATATAATGAACAGATTGAAGTTAGACATTCACATAATTGGATGCCAGCTCAGTGCTCCATAGGTTAGACGTTTGCGTGTGAATCCGGGATACGTGGATGTGGTTATCGATCAGTCTTATACTAGAATTAAATGGCTATCTAGTGCCTCCATGATTTCAATATTTCTCAAGATATGATTGATTTGTGATTGAAACTATGCGAATTTTTATACGTCTATTACTCAAGAAATTTAATGACCGATATTAGGATAAAACACGTAATAAAAGTATTTGATTGCGCACTAGTGAAATGACTTACTCCCTTACTTCCAACTGTTACCTCTAGTGGAGAAACATAGGCCGTCCAACAGCATTCTCCATCCAACTCTGTCCTGGTCAATCCTTTCCAATTACTCTTCATCCTTATGATGCCTACTTCCAATTCCCGAAAATGTTTGTTTTTTTCGGTCTTCCTCTTTTCCGTTTCCCTTCAAGATTCCAAGTTAGCGCTTGCTTTACAATGCAGTTTCGTGATCTCCTCAATATATCTACTATCTACCATTAGCATCTTTTCCTAATTTCTTCTTCAACTGGAATTAACAGAAATGAGGAAACTCACAAACATAACAAATAGGATATAAATCAGTGTAAATATGCTTCCCGCAAGATAAGCCCAATTTAAAAGTGATTGAAGAATTTACTAGTTGTAGTCCTGTATTTTTATTGGTACATCATTCAAAAGTTGAAATTACGTTACATTCATAATACTCTTAACATATAGTACATTAAATATACACTGTTACGTCCATTCATTTCCATCATATAACTATTATTGATCTGTTTGCATTCGAATGTAAAATCCTTAAACAAAAAGGTATTCCAGTAGGTTAAGCGTTCGCGCGCGAGACTGAAGGCCCTAGGTTCGAATCCCGTGAGTGGGATCGTGGATGCGCACTACTGAGGATTCCCACGATAGGACGAAACGGCCGTCCAGTGCTTCCAGGTTTTTATGATGGTCTAACATCAATCGGTTCATG